CTTTTTTAAAAGCGAAAATTATAGCGGAGCCGTCTGAAAACTACTGACAATTTCCCGCTCTCTTTACTTTCTATCCAAATGCGTATCAGAATAAGTCCTATTTTAAAAAGGTTTCTAGGAGTGCTCATAAAATTCTTATGTCGTGTTCTAGCTTTTTTGAATAACTTCTACAGCTTCGTTTAGATCTAAACCATTTACTATTTTCTTAGAACTAGAATAGCAAGCGGATTCTATGCGGCAATCTATCCATGAAGGAAGTCAAATTTTATAGTCTGAAATTTCTTTTTTTACCGTATTCCTAAGATTAAAACGTTTCAATGAAGGTCGCTTCAAAAGATTAATTTTAGAAGTTAAATTATTCTTACTAATCATTGTGCAGGTTTTTTGAGGAGAAGTCTCTGGTATTGCGTCATCTGAAGACGGCATATTCCTTAAACGCTTCCTGTGTTTTGCTCTACGGTTTTTGAACCAGACCTAAAAGTTCTGTATTAAAAACAACTAACAAATTTCTAGCTAAAAGATAATAAACATTCTTACAACACTACAGCATCTTTGGAGTCAACAGGGAGATTTGAATAAGCTAACTAAGATAAAAAAAGTAAAATGCTTTTGTGAGGAGCTAATAAAAATTAGCGATTTTTTAATCAAAATATTAAGAAACGAGAGAAATTAGTGCAAAAACAAATCACTAAATACAAAACAAACGGGTAAAAATAATTAGAAAATGTCAAATTAGAAGAAAATTTCTGTAGAAGAGTGGTATGAATGGTATATAGACGTTCTCTTGAAATACTGTATTATAGGCATTAGTGCCAAATACGTGGGTAAACAATGTGTGATCAATCTAATTTTGCCAAATCAGCTTTTGAACGTAAAGATTTATAGACTGCAGCTGAAGAGCAGTTCGCGCTTCCGAAAACTCAGTACATAACCAAATAATTGTTTGATTAGAGGGCCAAAACTAATCTGCAAACAGTAATAAAACCAATGTTTTGGTTATCTAACAACTACTTAACGTTGAGGCCAAAAGGTCGACAACGCAGCGGGTATCATATTGCTGGAAGCTCAACAATTTCCCTGTGCAGTTTTTTACAGCGCCGAGTACCAAGACAGCAATTTATGATTCTGAACAAGTACCACAGCAAATATGCAAAACAATTTATTGAAAATTGTTCAAATCAATTTAAGTTACAGTTATTTTACTCATTCTATTTTAAGCGTTAATTTGTAAGTGTTTTTTAGAATTATATTTGAATTTTTAATTCAGACTGATTCAAACCAGTAAAAATGTATGGCTGCACAAGTTGTAATAATTGCATCTACACAGGAAATTCCGGCAGCAGAAAAACAGACAGAAAAGTCTAGGATTTTAGATCATGACTATTAGAAAATTTTTGACGTATAAATTTTTTTAATTATGGTTTTAATATTTTAAGTTGGTAGGAAAATACTTTAATATAATGACCTAAAACTGAATTTGGAAAAATCAAAAAATTGTATCGAACAAGAGAACCAGCTGAACTAACTTTCAGCTTGTTAGATTAGATTCATTTTGAAAGCTTTGAAGCTCAGTTTGGTAGTTGGCTGCGAAAAGTGTTGTAAACACCTGGCTTTGAGTACAATACGGTGAAGTGAACTTAGTGGATTGATTTACATCGATGGGTAATTTGTTTGCGCATGCGTTGTGCTCAATAAACACGCTGTTAAGCGTCAAACGATGTTCCTTTAGCTATTAAGCCGCTTAATACATTTTGCTTAACATTTAATCCAAAAACTTTTCAAACAATTCTAATCTTAAACATTTTGAAGTTGGTCACTGGTGAGATTTGTAGAAACAGTAACGCTATCTGTAAACATAATTTGTAAGCTGAAAAATGACTAAAAATCGTTTCACAATAAACCTTCCAAAGTTTGCGCCCCTAATGAAAGAGATAGAACGCTACAAATTAAGTTCCAAGTATAATAGCAAATTTGGTATTTAACAAAGCAATAATCTTAGCAATATACTAATATAGTGTACGCAAGCGCTTCTACATAAACATTTAATTTTTCAAAAAAATAGAATTTTTAACCAATTTATCACTACCTGAACAAGATTCAGAAAAGTAATTTCGAATGCTAAAACGAAAAGTTAATCAAACTGTTATAAAAAACTTGTAGTAATGTGGCAAAAAATTTATTTGTTTATACTATACCAGAAAGAACTTTACAGGACAAACAAACTTGAATTCTTGCTTCTGGCAACTGTGTTTCTCTAGCCAACTTTTCCCTAACGTTAACATCTGGATACTGACAGTCTATAAAACACTTTTCCAACTGGTCAAGTTGGCTTTCCGTAAAGGCAGTGCGATTCCGACGTAGCTTGCGATTTTCAATTTCGGAAGATGAACCTAAAAAATTTTGCCAGGACAAACTGTAATAAAAAATTTTAAACTGCAAGCTTTTCTAAAAATTAACAAAAGTTGTGTTTAACTTTTTCATAAATTTAATATATTCTTCCTGCTCTAGTTTTTAATCATAAATTGATTTTGAGAACCTGCCAAACAATAGAAAAAAATCTAAAAAAATTTTTTTTATCAATTTTGTGTATTTGTTAGTTCACCTGAAAACTGTTTCTAAAAAATGAAATTTGAAAGGAATCACGGCCACATTTAAGCCAAAAAATTTAGTTAAACGGTTTCAAGTTTTAAGAGAGATTTAACGATTAAACTTAATAATTTAAAATCCAATTTATAGTAATAAGAGAGAGACAGAAAAGAAAAAGACAAGAAACTTGTTCATAGCAAACTTAAAATGCTTAGTACTTACTTTGGTTATTCTTAAGCTGTTCAATATAATTACCGTAATTGAAAAAAAATTCAGTGGAATTATGAAAATCAACAGCGTTCATTTTATTCGACATAATAACTTAACAATTTAGTCGATTTCCATTAGCCCTTGTATAGGGTTTTCGAGACCACGCCTCCTCTCGCCTTATTGGTTGCTGTTTTTGCTCCGCCCATAAAAGTAGTCTTTGTCAGAAAAAAAAAATATGTCGTAAGCTTAAAAATAAAATAACTGTAAATACGAGCAGTAAACATTAAAAACTAGTCAAATGCGTAAGTAATGATTCTAAAATTGTTGAAAAATAAGTCAGCAAAAACCTATTAACTTATTCTGCAGCTTAATTTTTGTGCTCTTTTACAGCTCAGCCTTAAACATCTTACAGTTTTACAATCTTCAAAAAAAAAAAAGAAGAAGAAGAAGAAGAACACAGGTAAAAAGTAACAACGTCAAACAATTAGTCTTTCAGCAAAAATAATTCTTTTTTTTTTTTTTTCACTTGCTACCGTCTATCACTTCGGCTGTTCTTCAAAAAGCAGTAAAACTTGATTAACGGTAATGAAATAACTACGGAAAGAAGTTAAGAAATTGATTTAACAGGTTGCAAGTTTCATAACAGCTAGAACGATCGATTCATTGAACCTACACCGCAGTTCTAAGTAAATGCATAAATAATCGATGGTTTTTTGAGTCTGCTTCATTGAGAGTTTGTGAAAAGCAAATCTTTCCTTTGCTTACTGTTATAGTTGTTTCTTGAACACTACGATGAAGAAGCCACAACAGCTTCTATAAACCACATCTTAATTCAAATTCATTCTCTGAAAAACCTTCAATTATTCTGGTCAACTAGTGTACCTAAAATTCAACTAATAAATATATTTAAATGAGAGTTCAAGCTAAGGTTTCGTCAAGAAAAAAATGATATGTAAAGCAATATCAGAAAGTTTTAATGCAGTGCAGTAGAAGAGATGAATTAAATGAAAACAAAAAGAGCTGCTGCAAGAATTGCAACGCAAATGAGAAAAACTATACTATTTAATACAAAGCGGTTCAGTAAATAACCACATTTCCTCCGTAAGGCAGCCACAGGAAATTAAAAAAATCTGTCTCAAATATTTATATGTCACGTTCAGACTACCAATGACCCTTTTTCAGTGTCATACTAGAACTCGGTTCTTGGTTTCGTGCATCTTAGGATTATTAATTTTACCAGTCATAACTCTGCTACCGCTAAATTTGTCAAGCGTATAATGCTCAGTCTTATTTGTCCATTTCAAGACGACGTACAAATGGTATGCTATTACTATCATCTTACTGTATATAATATTCCCTACATCAAAAATAGTATATTTCCGAATATATTTTTACTCTTCCTTTCCTCTGAATACTCATATTTTTTGATAAACAGAATAAACTCCAACTATGTTGATGAATACCGACAAATACTGAAGTCTGCTGCGTTACAGCATAAAAAAGGCAGTTATGTTTATGAAAAAGATTAAATAATCAACTGGAGTATTTCAGAAGTCCTTTGAATGATACCGAATCAATATATTAACGATACGTTAATGATCCACTAGAAAAGGTGAAGAACCGCACTTTAGTAAAAATTGTATAAACAATAAACTGTTATTACAACTGCTCAATGCGCAACAAACGATGTTAATACGCTTGACATTTTTGCTTAACAAATACCGTCTCTGTTCTTTGTCAGGTGAAACATCCAGTGCTTTACCAAGTACCTAACCACTGATTTATATTATAACACCTAATCACTATGTCTCCTTTTATGTAGTTTGATTTTCACTCTTCTGAATATTTTTTTTGAACAGCAATTAATTGCAACTTCAGAATACTTTTTAAGGCTAATATTATTACAGAATATAGGTAAGTTTGAAACTTAAAATCGTTATCTATAATCCATTGCTAAAACTTTAGCTCACACCAAAAAAAAAAACATTCTATTAATAAAAAGAAGAAAAAAAAATGATATTCAGCTGTCAGTATAACTGCATCCCAAAGAACTAATATCAGATTGCCAATTATGAAAAAAAAAACAAGTTTTTTTCTTCGATCTTTTGGGAACAGTATTACACAGCTTGATTATGGCTATTAAAATGTGTGGACGCACAGTTTTTATAACAAATTAAAGGAATACTGCTGCGAAAATGGAAAAAAAAGAACAGGAAAAAATACTAGCTACCGGTTGTTGGTATTAGCAGTCAAACAAACAGAACAACAAAAAACCAACGTCAATCGGGTATCTCGTACAGACATTATTGGTAAGCCCAGATAGGTTTTGTTGCCATAATTTGTGTATTATCAAAAACCAATAAAATTACATTGCTGTACCGTGGATGGTTGGTTCAGTTTTGGGAATATTCGTCGTAATAAATATCCGTTCTTTTTTGCCCAGTTTCATCGAAATATATAGAAGATAAGCATTTTCATTAGCTGGAACAATTTATCTGAAAAAGTAAATCCTTTGAATTACACATAACGAAAAAATGGTACAGCAATAAAGAGTAACACCAGATTAAGTGCAGCAAATTGGCTACCGGAAATAACACCAACAGAATTCTTTTGCATAGTGTTAAAAAGTTTTTTATGACAGTATACCAGTTGTTGCAAAAGATTGATTGCCTGAAGCTGTATTAAATTTTGAAATTCAAAGTTATTGTGCTTGAAGGAATTTCGGTGAATATTTGTTTTGCACAGTACTGTTGTTCCATTGTATTTTATGCCACTGTGGTTACCGGTCGTCGGTTGCGTGTTCCGTTCTGCGAAGGTTATTATGTAAACATTTTTTTGAACGGTATTGGAAACTGTTGAATTTTGTTTTAACTCCTCTTTTTTTTCTTTGTTTTGAAGGGGAGATAATTCAAAAGTTGTATAAACATATGTATATTTATTTAAAGAACCAATGTTACAACTTTAGCAGAAAGTAGTAAATTAGGGTAGCTTCAAAAGAAGAAAGAAGTACAGAAAAACAATTACTATTTGGTACTTCAAATATCAACTACAATACTTTTAGAGGAAACAAAAGCTGTAGCTGAAGGTTATTTTATACATGTTTTTATTGTTGAAACCAAGTTGCTTACTGTGCACACTTGGTGTTCCTG